ACTAGGAAAAAAAAAAGCTAACAAAAGAAAAGAAATAACTAAGATCAGAACTGAATTAAATTAAGACTCAAAAATCCATACAAAAGATCAATGGAAAGAAGAATAGGTTTATCAGAAGAATAAAAAAGATTGACAGGCTTTTCATTAGATTAACAAAGGAGAAAAAGGGAAGATCCAAATAAGCACAAACAGAAATGACGAAGATGACATCACAACTGATCCTACAGAAATACAAAAGATCCTCAGAGACTATCATGAACATCTCTATGAACACAAATTAGAAATCTAAAGGAAATAAATTCTCCAAAGACTGAACCAGGAAGAAAGTGAAAACCTGAACAGACCAATAACAACTTCCAAATTTGAGTCAGTAATTAAAAACCTACCAACAACAACAAAAAAAGCCATGGACTAGAAGGATTCACAGCTGAATTCTACCACACATACGAATAAGAACTGGCACCAATCCTACCGAAAATATTCCCCCAAAAAATTGAGGCGGAGGGACTCCCCCTGCTCCCTAACTCATTCTACAAGACCAGAATTATCCTGACACAAAATCTGGCAAAGACACAACAAAAAAGAAAACTTCAGGCCAACATCCCAAATGAACACAAACATAAAACCCGAAAAAAAAAAAAATAGCAAAATGAATCCAGCAGCACATTAAAAAGTTAATTCACCATGATCGAGTAGGCTTTATTCCTGGATGCAGGGTTGGTTCAACATATGCACATCAATAAATGTGATTCACCACATACACAGAATCAAAAACAAAAAGCATATGATCATCTCAATAGACACAGAAAAAGCTTTCTACAAAACCCAACATCTATTTATGATAAAAACCCTCAATAACAAGGCTTCGAAGGAACATACCTCACAATAATAAGAGCTATCGATGACAAACCCACAGCCAACATCATACTGAATGGGTAAAAGCTGGAGTCATTATCCTTGAGAACTAGAATGAGGCAAGGCTGCCCACTCTCAACACTCCTATTCAACATAGTACTGAAAGTGCTAGTCAGAATAATCAGACAAAAGAAAGAAATAAAATGCATTCAAATAGGAAAGGAAGTCAGTCATATTATCTCTCTTCACTGATGATATGATTCCATACCTAGAAAACACTAAAGATGCTGCCAAAAGGCTCCTGGAACTGATAAATAAGTTTCAGGATACAAAATCAATGTACAAAAATCAATAGCACTTCTATACACCAAAAACATTCTACCTGAGAGCCAAATCAAGAACACACACCAATTTCCAACAGCAAAAACCTATGCATACATCTAACCAAAGAGGTGAAAGATCTCTACAAGAACTACAAAACACTGCTGAAATAAATGAAAGACAAGACAAATAAACAAAAATATATTCCATGCCCATGAATTGGAAGAATCAATATTGTTAAAATGGCTATACTGGCCAAAGCAATTTATAAATTCAATGCTATTTCTGTCAAACTACCAACATCATTTTTTGCAAAATTAGAAAAACCTATTCTAATATTCACATGGAACAAAGGCAGAACCCAAATCACCAAAGCAATACTAAGCAAAAAGAACATTACCTGATTTCAAACTATACTATAAGGCTATAGTAACCAAAATAACATGAGACTGGTACAAAAACAGACACATAGACCAATGAAACAGAATAAAGAACCCAGAAATAAAGCCGTACACCCAGAACCATCTGATTTTCAACAAAGTCAACAAAAGGAAGCAGTGAGGAAAGGACTCCCTGTTCAAAAGAAGAATGAAGCTAGTCTCTACCTTTCACTATATACAAAAATTAACTCAAGATGGATTAAAGATGTAAATATAAGACCTCAAACTACAAAAATCCTACAAGAAAACCTAGGAAATGCACTTCTTGACATCAGGTTTGGCAAAGAATTTATGACTAAGTCCCCAAAAGCAATTACAACAAAAATGAAAATTGACAAATGGGACCTAATTAAACTAAAGAGCTCTGCACAGCAAAATAAATTATCAACAGTAAACAGCCTAGAGAATGGGAGAAAATATTCACAAACTATGCATCCAACAAAGGTCTAATATCCAGAATCTATAAGAAACTTAAACAAATCAAAAAATTTTTTAACCAAATTTTTTTTGGTTAAAAAAAACTCATTTAAAAAATGGGGCCGGGAGCGGTGGCTCACACCTGTAATCCTAGCACTTTGGGAGGCCGAGGCAGGCGGATCACGAGGTCAGGAGATCGAGACCATCCTGGCTAACAGGGTGAAACCCCGTCTCTACTAAAAATACAAAAACTTAGCTGGGTGTGGTGGCGGGCGCTGTAGTCTGAGCTACTCGGGAGGCTAAGGAAGGAGAATGGCGTGAACCCGGGAGGCGGAGCTTGCAGTGAGCAGAGATCGTGCCACTGCACTCCAGCCTGGGCGACAGAGCGAGACTCCGTCTCAAAAAAAAAAAAAAAATCGGCAAAGGATATAAATAGACACTTATCAAAAGAAGGCATTACAAGTGGCCAAGGAACAAATGAAAAACTGTTCATCATCACTAATCATCAGAGAAACACAAATCAAAACTACAATATACCATCTTACACCAGTCAGAATGGTGATTATTAAAAAGTCAAAAAATAATAAATGCTGAAAGTCTGGGGAGAAAAGAGAACACATACACACTCTTGGTGGGAATGCAAGTTAGTTCAGCCACTGTGGAAAGCAGTTGAGAGATTTCTCAAAAACTTATAACAGGACTACTGTTTGACCCAGCCATCCCATTACTGGGTATATACCCAAAGGCAAATAAATAATCCTACAAAAAAGACATATGCACTCATATGTTCATTGCATCACTATTCACAATTGCAAAGATATAGAATCAACCTAAGTGCCCATCAATGGGAGAGTCGATAAAGCAAATGTGGCACATATACACCATGGAATATTACGCAGCCATAAAAAGACTGAAATGTGTCCTTTGCAGCAACATGGATGTAGCTGGAGGCCATTATCCTAATTAACACAGGAACAGAAAACCAAATATCATATGTTCTCACTTATAAGCGTGACCTAAATAATGGAATACATATGGACAGAAAGATGAGAACAATAGACATTTAGAGATGTCTAAAGAAGGGAGAGGGGAGGGAAGGGAAAATGGGCTGAAGACCTACCTATCAGGTATTATGCTCAGTACCTGTGTGACAGGATCATCTATATTCCACACCTCAGCATCATGCAATATACCCATGTAACAAATTTGCTCAGGTACCCCCGAATCTAAAATAAGAAATTATTTTTAAAATATATATATAGGCCTAAAACTAAAGAATAAATCATTTTAAATCAGAGATAGGCATGTCTGAGTATATATATGGTTACATATTGGAATACTTTTCTAACGAAAAGAGTAAAATCTGTTTTTCCAAAATATCTTTTTAAAAAGAGGAACTTACAAGTTTATATTTTAATTATACTCAAATTATAGCCAGAAAAAAATTTCAGTCAGTGGATAGTGTTCCATAACCTAGTGTCTGCAAAGCAACTATTTTAATATTTCTAGTATTAAAATTTTAATATTCAGTTAGGTTTGTGGATATCTATTCACACCTGAATGCATACACATACATATGCATACAAATATCTGTATACATATTCTATATAGTATATTTTTCAATTTTTGTTAAGAGAATAACTTTGGAAAATAATCTTCAATCAGAGTAGAATAAAAAAACAAAAGCACTAAATGGCATATACATTCCTGCTGTAGATGTTTACAAATGCAGGTGCCAGTACCAGAGTTCCTACAAACCAATCATGATACTCCACCTATATTACTGCCTATACTTTGTAGCCCTACAAAGGACTCTATGACACATGAGGACTCTACAGAATTCCTCATGTATAAAATAGGATAAAATGCTACCCATAGTTCATGCAATGTTATGAGAATTAAATGAGCTAATCCAATTAAAGTGCTTACTCTGATAGGTTAATATTAAAAACAAGTGTTCATTCCCCAAGACCTAAATTAAGAGACATATTTTGTCATAGTGGACAATGTACATAAAGAAGTGCACATAAAGAACAGTGAAATATGTCTCAGATAATATTAATGTTAATCATAAGATGTATAATCAAACTGTTAGATGTGAAGAAATATCAGTTTCTATCTTTATAATTTTTAGATTTGAGGAAACATGATTCCTTCATTACAACTACAACTGACCTATATCGAAATAGAATAAAAATTAAAAAATTTTGTTACAAAAATGACCTAATTTATCAAGTATTTATTTACCAAGATAAATATTTAAACATATCATTTGATAATATCTAAGACAAAACAGAAATATAGTTGCAAGGTACAATCAATATAAGATTTAAAATTCCATTCCCTTCATCATACAAAAATAGGAATTGTGTATAAAAAGCTACATAAAAATACCTAGCATAGCACTGTTCATAATCGAAAATTGGATATATCTATATATCTAATGTCCCACTGCTGAAGATCACTTATGATACAGGCATTGAGTGGAAAATTATATAACCATTTTAAATGACTTTGAACTAAATTTTTGGTGGCAAAGGAAAATGTTCATAAAGTTGAAAAAAGCAAGGAACAAAAGTGTTCCTACAGTATGATTCAAAGTTTATAAAACAGTATAAATGTGTGTGCATACACACACAAAATAAAAACCCTGAAAATGTATATATCAAAATATTACTATTTCTGGATAGAGGGATTACAGGGATTTTAAAACTTTCTTCTTGTGTGTATTTCCCATATTCTTTTTTGTAATCTAAAAGTTAAAAGATTTCAAATTCCTGTTTTAGTTTTTACCCATATATAAATTTTGTAGCAGGAGGATTTCATAGACACTAGGACTCCAAATATGATCCCATGTTTAAGAATACAATTTTTTCGACGCTGGCATCCCCGGAGCCTGCGGCGGGTGGCTGTGACAACCCCAGCGCTGACGGCGGCTGGGGCATCACCGTGGGCCTCGACCCCGAAATGGCGCTGCTGGCTGAACACCTGCTGAAGCCGCTGCCCGCGGACAATCAGATCGAGACTAGGCACTTCCTCCAGGCGGTGTCCCACCTGCCGCCCTTCTTCGATTACCTTGGGTCCCCAGTGTTTACTCCCATCAAGGCAAACATAAGCGGCAACATCACGAAAATCAAAGCCGTGTACGACACCAACCCAGCCAAGTTCTGGACCCTGCAGAACATCCTGGAGGTGGAGAAAGAAATGTATGGAGCAGAGTGGCCCAAAGTAGAGGCCACACTGGCAATGATGTGGCTGAAAAGAGGCCTCCACTTCATCCAGGTCTTCCTCCAGAGCACCTGTGACGGGGAGCGGGACGAGAACCACCCCAACCTCATCCGCGTCAACGCCACCAAGGCCTACGAGATGGCCCTCAAGAAGTAGCATGGCTGGATCATGCAGATCTTCCAGGCAGCACTGTACGCAGCCCCCTATAAGTCCGACATCCTGAAAGCGCTCTCCAAGGGGCAGAATGTGACAGAGGAGGAGTGCCTGGAGAAGATCCGCCTCTTCCTAGTCAACTACACGGCCACCATCGATGTCATCTATGAGATGTACACCCAGATGATGGCCGAGCTTAACTACAAGGTGTAGGCGTTCTCACCGCTGGACACGCCCCCGACTCGTGGCCACACGGAGAAACAGGCAAACCAGAATCACTGTGAATCAAGTCTGTGAGCTGCCCCTGGCTTGCGTCCCCGAGTCCTGCCAGAGTCTGCAGGGGACAGCCCTTGTTTTTTAAGTCTTTTTTTTTTTTTTTGGCCTATTCTAAAGGACCAATAAATAATGATCTTACTTCCAAATCTTGGAATTTCACGACAGCACAGACTGACTTTATAGCTTCATTTCAGCGTGGCAAAAATCGATTAACACTTCTAATGAGTCAAGTCCCAGGAATTTTTGGTTTTGTTTTGTCGCCAAGGAGGAACACAGCTCTGGGGGAATGGTGTCGTCCACCTCATTTTAAAAATAAGCACATGATGGCCGGACACTGTGGCTCACGCCTGTAATCCCAGCACTTTGGTGGAAGCCCAGGTGGGCAGATCACCTGAGGTCAGGAGTTTGAGACCAACCTGGCCAACATGGTGAAACCCCAACTCTACTAAAAATATAAAAAATTAGTCAGGCGTGGTGGTGCACGCCTGTAGTTCCAGCTACTCAGGAGGCTGAGGCAGGAGAATCGCTTGAACCTGGGAGGTGGAGGTTGCAGTGAGCTGAAATCGCACCATTGCACTCCAGCCTGGGCAACAAGAGAGACTCGTCTCAAAAAAAAAAGGGGGGAGAGGTGGGTGGACCAATTGAGGTCAGAGTTTGAGACCAGTCTGACCAACATGGTGAAGTCTCTACTAAAAATATAAAATTAGCCAGGCACAGTAGCACAAGCCTGTAATCCCATCTTCTTGGGAGGCTGAGGCAGGAGAATCGCTAGAACCCTTAGGTGGAGGTTACAGTAGCCAAGATCGCACCACTGCATTCCAGTCTGGGCAACAAGAGCGAAACTCCGTCTCCAAAAAAAAAAAAAAAAAAAAAAAAGGCATGTGACCTTATGAGGCTCTCACTGTATTGCTATTTTGGTTATTTTAAGGGCTACAAAGAGTTTGATTTGAAATTATGCAGGGCCTCTATGTGGGATTTTTTTTTTTTTTTTTTTAAAGCAAACTGGTGTGTATTCTCATGTGGTCTGCATAGTCCAGTCTCACAGCACTATTGTGAACCCTGCTCTTTCTATCTAGCTAGACAGGTTTTTTTGTTTGTTTTCTTTTTTGTGTTTTTGTTGTTGTTGTTGTTGTTTTACAGCTGAAACCAACCAGCAAGCCCTTGATGACCAAGAGGCGTTTCTTTCAAAGCTATAGGGCACAAACAATTGACCATAGATGACTCTGTCTGCATTCTTCTGCAGAATTATTTCCTTTAGGGACAGATTTTTCAACCTAAGAAACTACCTACTGTTTGTATTCTCTTGACGGGGAGAGATGAACCCTTCAGCCGCTAAGATTCAAGAAAACGCCTCACTGCCTTAACCTTAACTGTTCTTCCTGGAGCTAAAAAAAGCTGTATTTTTTTAAAGTGCTGGGGCAAACAAAGCAACCCCAAAAGAACTGATGTGTGTTTTAAAAGAAAAAACCCAATAAGGAACAACTGGTGATTTTTATGCATAAACTAAATAACCCTTAATAAATAAATCTCTATTTTGGAATTTTTAAAAAAATACAATTTTTTCAATTTTTTTTTTAAAATACATTCTCAATGACACCTATTTTAGCCTTGTAAGCTTGATATATTTAACAGAGAGAACTAAAATTGAACAGTGGATCAAAAAACAATTTCTTCTTGGGAGAGGAGGGGAACTAGACCAAGAGCAAATATTGATAATATTGAAATATATGAATTAATCTATAACTCTTATTTCAAAATGTTCAATAACTCTTGGCACAGAGATGACTTTTTATTGGTTTTTTATTGAACGCTATGTGATTCCTAACACTGTCATCTTCCACCCCCCTCCTTAATATATATGAATCCAAGAAGCTTGCAAGTCATATTAAAATATTCTTTCTTTAGTTTGGCAGAAATTTGTACTTTTGACCTTGAATTTTCCCTACTACCTAATCAAAGAGTTTTATCATAAATAAACATTTACTACTACAGGCATTAAAATGGAATAGGACTTAATAACTAGTAAAATTCCTTCCTAACTTCAGGTTTTCTGAAGATCTAAGTAACTGATGAAAAATTGAATCCTTTAACATGAAAAAACAAAAGTCATATTCACATTTCAAGTTATATGTGTCAAAGCACTGGTGCTGAAACAGAATAGGTTATCTTCTAATTTCACATCACTGAGTTATTCACTGCAGTAACATATTATTGAGAAAGTTATACTGGAAAATTACCTAACATTCTCTGACAAGAAAAAAAAAACTAACAATAAAAAGAAAAGCAGCCAAATGAGATGAAAAAATTATGAATTAGCATGGTGGTTTTTTATTACAAAGCTAAATATAGGGACAGATTTTTTCCACTTTGATCACTCTCACACTGTTGCACTGAAAATAAAGAAAACAATAATACATAGAATGCAAGAACACTGATCAACACAATCTACAATATTTACACAGAGATTATTAGTCACAAAGGGTTTTGGAGTATTCATTTAGTTAAGCAGTAACATTTCCTGAGGGCTTTCTATGTGATAGGAACTTTGCTGGTTATCAGAAATGCAAAAAATGAAAAGCCACAATTCTTGCCCTCAACAAGATCATACACAGGGAGGTTTACACATCTACCACCTGTGATAAATCAGCCCAATTACATGGGCACCAAATGTGAAATGATAATCACTATGTTGCCTAGTAAAGTTAGATTATTTGGTTTAAAAATTCCCTCTTAATTTTTTGGTTTTACAATGCAGTTAAGATGTATGATTAATGAGATGCATTGAAAAACAAGATGAGTATATTACAGAAGTATTGTATATGGGGAAAATCTTTGTATTTCAGCAATTTTTAATATTTACTTGAATTTTTCACTCTCCCACAAAACACCCACTACTTGAAGTCCTATTGCACAAATGTCAATCTATTGTTGGTTTTTCTTATTCCATAATAAGAAATTCATACATTTACATTAAAACACTACCTTGTTCATCTTTAAGACTTCCAATTAATGGTGCTATGCTTTAGTTCCCAGTATTACAAAGGCAGAATAGATTTTTAAATAGTACTGGAAAAAACGGTCATATGAATGAGTGAGTATATGAATCCTGAAAACTGAAAACTAAAGAGGTTGCCCCTTCACCACCACTTTCCTATTCCAAAAAGACTAGAATCATTGAAGGTATTTGATGTAAAAAATGAGTACCTTCTGAAATAGTTCATCTCCTACATCTTCATAAGCCAACTTGAAATCTTACTGATTTTAAAAGCCTCCATTTAGAAACCATCACCTAACGTCTTTCCGTGGTCTCCAAAATAATCTTCCCTCTGAATATCCATTACATCTGGGTGGCACTACCCTTATGCTACTTATCTCAAACTACCTTAAATTTAGTTATTTGAGCAAAACACCTTTAACCCTTTTAGATGGAAATAGCTCCTAAGGGCAACGACATGTCTTTGTATCAGTTACACTACTTTAGTGTTGTCCTCAAACACTCATTGACTGTGTAACACTGTGCAAGGAACTTAACCTCTTTATTGTATAGTATGTGTTATAATACCTACCTCACAGCATTGCTGTGACCAATAAATGAACACATATTAAATACACAGAAATACAATCAATCCTCATCCACAGATTCCACATTTGTGAATTTGCCTACTCAATAAAATTTATGTGTAATCCAACATCAATATTCGCAGCACTCTGGCAATAATTTGTGGAAATGTGCAGAGGGAGAGAATTTTGAGTCACCTGATTTGTTTCCTGTCAGCTGAAACTGAACAAAGTAATGCTCTGCTTTGTTTCTGCTCCCATACTATAAAGGAGTATTCTTTTCACAGTCTATTAAATGCAACAGTGTTCTCATTTTTGTGCTTTTTGTTGATGATTTGGCTATTTAGAATGCCCAAGTGCTGTCTAGTGTTCCTAAGCACAAGATGCCTGTGACAGGCCTTAGGGAGAAAATATGTGTGTTACAAAAGCTTCCTTCAGGCATGAGTCATACTGCTGTGGGACATGAGTTCAATATTAATGAATCAACAATATATATATTAAATAAGGTGTCTTTAAATAGAAACACACATTTTAGTGATGTATTGATACGTGGACAAAAATATTGTGACCAGAGGCTTATAGGAACCTAACACTGTAATTCCAGTAAGAGCTAATTTATTATTCACTGCTACTTCACAGAACAAATCCACTTCAAGTAGTGAGAATCAACTGTACTTAGAGTACTGACAAATACATAGTAAGCTAAGGAACTATTAACTACCATCAGAGTTGTATTGTTAATAGCACATGGTAGGTACTTGAACATCTGTTAAAACAGTGCCTGAATAAAATAAAAATAAGGACTAGATTTTAAAAAGGAAGAAAATTTCCAAATTATTTTTATATAACAGTCACATAACATTGGCCCCAAACCTTCACAAAACTGCACAGAAAACTGCACAAATAAAACACACTAAAGAATAACAATGCAAAAACTTTAAATGAGATAATATGCAAAAGAATCCAAAACACTAAAAAAAATTTAAAAGAGGGGTACATTCCAGAAGTTCAAAGGTTTTTAATATTACAAATGCATTAATAAAATTCATTATATTAATGGAAGATTATACGTTTATTTTCATAACTGCTGAAAACTCAAGGGACATAATTCAACATCATTCATAATTACCTAATTACATAATTAAAATAAAAAATTTAAAGTTTACATAGAAATTAAGAGGTGTTTGTTAGCCTGAATACATATAGATATAAAGATATACACATGTGTCTGTACTTGCCCAATTAGCCAGCAACTTACTTAACTGGAAATGTTAGATACTTTCTCATTAAAATAAGGAATAAGACAAGGATGTCCACTATCTCTTCTATTATTTAATATCTTTTGGTGTTATTAAACAACGCAATTAGAGAAGAGAAAA